AATAATGGGATAGAGAGTATATGTGTGTGTTGTGGGGTAAAAGGGAGGTATATTTTCAGTTGGAGAGTCAAAGAAGCTCCCCTGAGAAGGTGACACTTGAGCTGAGACCTAAATGAACAGTCGGAGCCCACCATGCAGAAATGTTGCAAAGAGCCCTCTAAGTAGTGGGGATATCAGATACAAAGTCACTCAACTAATAATGAGCTTGTCCTATTTAAAGAAAAGGAAGTGACAGATGTGACTGGAACCTAGTGAATGGTGGGAGAAGTGGTATGAAATGAGGATAAAGAAGAAGACTGGTGCCAGTTTGTTAATTTAAAGGTTATGAATGACCTTTGGATTTTATGACTTTAAGGCAATACAGATCAAAAACAACTTGGTATGAAGCTGAATGTCAACTCTTTTTTTTAAACCTTAGACATTTTATTCTAGCTTAGTATTTTACCAATGTGTAATGGGTTGATTGATTGATTAACTTAGGAACCACACAGATGTTCTTTGCCAAACATATTTATTTATTGTGGTAATGTCTGAGGAGTTTTATACCAGCTAATAAAGTGATTTATTTGAGGAAGAAGGTGAATGAGTATAACATATGCGACAGTATTTAGCTGTTTAAAAAACAAACTTTTATATTTTATTTAAATGTTATTCTAACATTTTAGGAGATTTATACATTCTTGGTTATGCTTTCTTAGCAAGAAAGTTCTAAATTATTTTTGTCTCGTTAACTTTTCTCAATTACTCCGTTTGAAGAGAATTTTAATTTTCTTAGCTACCACATTAGTAAAATACTTACATTGGGATTTTACCTCTACTGAGCATCTATCTCTAATTAAGGTATTGTCAAAAAAAGAAAAGTTAAGTGAATGTCACTTTTTTCCATTAATGGCTGAGTTCCCAGAATGATTCACATTTTAGCCTATGATATCATCCTTATTTAAGTATTTAGACAGACAAATAGCACAGAAATAGCAGCGTCAAATGAAAAGGGAAGTAGAAACAATCCAAAAGGGTAACAGGCTCATTTGAATTTTAAAGTGAGTGTTGTATTTTTGATATTTTGATTTAGAACTTCACCGTGATTTTAGTGACAGTTTGACTACAATTTGGGGTTTCATTTTGTCTGACAATGACTATTTGGAAAACATCTCTCATTTTCAGGGATTCTGGGAGGAGGAAGGTTTGAATGCTTTCTGCCTTCTCTCCCCTTCTAATTCCAATTTATCTACCTTTCTAGAGCCACACAGCTTCTGGGGTCAGAAGGCATATGGGGTTGTGGGATAATTTGTGCTCTGTAGGAGTCCTACTATAGAGTTGTTGCAAGATTTTATAGTAGGAGAGCCTGGATAAAGAGCAATGAAGGAAAAGCTCAGTCTGCAAAAATCTGCCCTCCTCACAGGTTTATGTCATAAAATATAATTCTCAGACAATAATGCAATATTAATTAGAATTCCAAAAATATTTTTAAGGATAATTATTTGAAAGTAGTTTAAAGTTTACTAAATTTTTTGATAAATTTATTGGATAATCAAGACCAATAGATGCCTGAGAATAGCTAGGACAAGTATGAAAACACAGACTAGTAGTAATGATGGTAAGGAGAGGAGAACTTACCTTACACAACTTCAGAATATGCTCTAAAACCACCATAATGTGATTAATGTGATACTAACTTAATAGATAAATAGATTAGTGGAACAAAATAGAGCCTTTCTCAACTAAAGCTCTTCAGCTGAATCACAAGACATAGAAAATTATTTGAGTGACTGTTCCCCTGCCCACCGCATGTATGATATAAAACTAGCAGCATTCTATATGTGTTGGAGGGAAGTCAGTTCATTATATACAACATATGTCTTAGGGCTTAATTCTCTCACAGAAATCAGGTTTAGAGAGACTAGATAATGTAACTATAAAATATGTGGCAAAGATAAAATTTCACTGTTTGCTGAGAAGGGTGTCTTCCCCTTCCCTCCCTTTCTCTCTCTTTTAATAGCACAAGCACAATTGGCTATCCCATGGAATAAAATGAATTTGAATCTTTAGGTTACTCCATGTATGAAATTCCCCCAAAATTCAAGGCTTAGATATAAAAATGAAAACAAAAATCTTAAAAGAAAATCTGGGCTTTTACATATTAAAAAAGTATGGGGCCAGGCACGGTGGCTGACACCTGTAATCCCAGCAGTTTGGGAGGCTGAGGCGGGCGGATCACAAGGTCAGGATATCAAGACCATCCTGGCTAACACGGTGAAACCAAGTCTCTACTAAAAATACAAAAACTTAGCCGGGCGTGGTGGCGGGCGCCTACGTAGTATCAGCTACTCAAGAGGCTGAGTCAGGAGAATGGCGCGAATCTGGGAGGCGGAGCTTGCAGTGAGCCGAGATCGCTCCACTGCATTCCAACCTGTGTAACAGGGCGAGAATCCGTCTCAAAAAAAACGTATGGATTGGCAGGAGCTTCTTAAGCAAATCTGGAGACCCAGAAATTTAATTTTTTTTTAAAAAGACATTATATCAAATGTGGAGTATTTTATCCAGTTTTTTTAAAAAAAACCTTAAATACATAATAACGTAATATCAATATTCAAAATAGACTTGGAAGAAAATACCTGAAATAAATGTAACAAATATTTGTCAATAATACACAAGGTACTCTTTTAAACAAGAAAAAAATTGAAACCACAATAGGAAAAAATATAGCAAATGGTATCAGTCAGCAATTCCACTTATGTGGAGTTATAGAACAGGCAAAAGAAATCAATATTGATAGACTCACTCAGTAGTTGCCTGGGAAGTTTACGGGAGTTGCTTGTGAAGGGGCATGATGGAATTTTCCAAGGAAATAGAATGTTCTATATATCACTGTGGAGATGGTGGCTGCCTTGTAAAAGGTAATTGAACTGTACACCTAAAATGTGTGTAGTTCAATATAGTTTATATATGTAAATTATACCTCAATAAAGTTGGTTTTAAAACTTCAATTGATACTCTTAAATGGTAACATTTTAATGTATGTTAGCACCTACTGCTATTAGTGCTGTGGGCAAAAGGACATTTTTGTACCTTTCCTGTAGGAAGGTGAATTTTTACAACTTTTATGGAAGCAACTTTGAGACATCTATTAAGACAAAAATTGTACCTTTTAATCCAACCTGTTTCTTCACTGTTTTCCATAGGAATAAAAGTTCTAGTAGATAAAAACATGTATGCATATGTTTAATGAAGCATTGTTCTTAGTGACTAAAAACTGGGTACCAAATTAATTCCCATTATTAGAGGAATGGCTGATTAAATTGTAGAATATCCTTATCATAGGATAGAATATAGCCATTAAAAGGGTAAGTTAGAACTATATCTGATGAAAGGATTTCCATGAGCTATTGTTGAAGGAAAAAAGAATGATGCACATAATAGAATCAGATAGACTACTTTATTTTTATTTTTGAAAAGCTAATAGTGCTCCAAGAAATAGCCTGTAAATATCGTGTTTTTATGTATAAGAATAACATTGAAGGATATATTTCAGATCATTTACGCAGTTTCCTGAATGTAAAGGACAAGATGTGTGAGGGAGTTGGAGAGAAGAGGAGGAATGGAGAGATGAGTAAAAAATGAATGAGATTTACATTAAAAACATCTAAACAATGTGTGTATGTATATATAATTTCATATTTTAAAAATTTTATGTGTCTGCATAAACTTAGGGAAACATTTAAGTTTTTATGTACTGACTTTCAGAGGTATTCATCGTATCCATTTAAATTTTAGAAACCGTGTTACGAAGTAATGTTTGTATGATTCTATTTGAGTAAATAAAAGATCCCCTGTATATGAATTTTTGTTAAATTTGAGTCAGCGCAACTTTCTTGTTTCCAGGTTTTTTTCAGTTTCTCTGAGAAACATTCCAAATATAACCTTCTTGATGCCCAAGCTCCTTAAGTGGATGTCTATTTTGGGGTGATATGATCAATATTGAAAAATGGTGTAATTCTGTTCCCTTCCAGCACCACCCACTAGTCCTAAAGATTGTATGCATCCCAAGGCCAATGACAATTGAATATTTCTAGCTCCTTGGATATGCTGAGGTTCTACTTGGGTTTTTCACTAGAGAAGAAGTACAAAAGCACGTTCAGGTCTCACCTGTTGTCTTTTAACCATCTATTTTTGTTTTTCAATTTAGCTGCACATTTCGTGCTTTTACTTTACTAACTTTGGTAGGTGACAGTATATAGCTAAATTTGAGATGGCAAAGTGGCGGAGGTATTGGTTTGGGAAGAATCATGTGTCGGGTCCATCAAAGGGAAATATTGTCATTGGTTTAGAGTTCTTTCAACTTACTATAGGCACTTTTGTCACTGGAGGTGTTTTCTTTGGCACTCTGTTTTTTCATCATTACATGAGGAGAAAGCAGGGCATGCCAAGGGATAAGCATTATCTTCTGTGCAACTCTTTTGTTTTTCATATTTGGAAAACATTTGTTCTCTGTGTTTATCTTATATATCCCCCATGCCTCTCTGTGTTTGCCCACAGAAATCTCTAAGATTTTTTCTTGTTCCCCTTTCATTTACATCTACCAACATAGTACTTGAATACAGGACCCCCTTTACTCCGTTAGTTTGGAATATCTTGATGGTGTGTGTGCCTGTGCACATATGTGTGTGTATTTTTTTTTAACCAACATAGTATCCCAGAGTATGAATATACAATGAATGGATTAAGATTCACTGGTACTGTAACTGTTCTACCTCTTAAAAGATGGAGGGAGTAGGTAAAGATGATATGAACTGGCATTAGTAAATTTTAATGGATTAAATGTAAGTATAGGATAATTAATACAATATACATGGGAGTACTTTTAATATGTGTTTAACTTATAAAACTTAGAGGAAATTGAAATCATTTATTCAAAACACTAATATTTTGAGAATTAAAGCGTCAATTTTCATATTCCCTTTTCCTTTTTTTTTCTTTTTTTGGGGGCGGTTGTTAAACAGATCATATACTCCTATGAAAGGAGGACTCTCAAATGTATGGTTTGACAGATTTAAAATAAGCAATGACTGCCCGGAACACCTTGAATCAATTGATGTCATGTGTCAAGTGCTTACTGATTTGATTGATGAAGAAGTAAAAAGTGGCATCAAGAAGAACAGGATATTAATAGGTAAGACCTTTAAATGTTGGTAATTTATAGCTGTTCACTTTTGTCTAATTCTATACATCAAATCTTACTTGGAGCATTATTTAGAAGCACTTACATATCATTTAATGCATTCATAGTTTCAGATAAACTTTACGTATTGAGGATTTCAAAGATATTAGAATTATAAACAACAGCACATGAAACTTTAATTGATTTTCTTTTTGAATAATAACAGATTTTGAGAATCTTGTGGCAGTTAAAATTTTTCTTCTAGTTTAATTTTCAGTTAAGAGATTATTCATTTCAATTTTTAAAACATTTTACTTCAGTTACCTTAAGTCTTGTGAATATATTTAAACAACTATTGCCATTATTAACATATACAGTCAGAATATACCATTAAATTTATGAAAATTATAATCTTCAGAGTTAATCTCACAAGAATAAAGTATTTATAAATTTTTGTTAGACTTGTCTTTAGCAAGCCCTGTTCCTAAGGGAATATAAGTAGCTTTATATAAGCTCTTTATTCTGCTTAATACCTTTTTCTGTTTCTGTACTTAGCATATGCATAAATTATTAAAATCCCTGTTTTTCTAACACACACAAAAGTGAGATGGGGCGTGTAGAATATGAGTAGTACACAACATATTTTGGTGAAAGGATTTTATTTCCATCTGTAACTATTTAACTTATAATGGGTTATATTTAATGATGAAATTAAAAAGCAAATTAAGTATCTCCATTATGTTCTAAATAACTTTAAAATGCACATTGAAATTCTTTATAGATGGAATTTGTGTAAACTAATAAACTTTCTTTGTGTTTATTGAAGTACTGAACTATCTGTTGAGTCAGGAGAGGCAACATGATATAATGGATAAAATCTGTTCTATTCCGTGTTGGTGTTAGTTTCCACTTTGTTGAAAGCAGCAAGGCCTCTAGCACCAGTAATATCACTTTTCTGGTCCTTAGTTTCCTCATTATGTTTAACTCTGTATTTCTATGTTTCTATGCTTAACGTTGATGTGTAACTCTAATAGAGAGAAACGTGGAGCACTATGGGAGGACTAGGAAGAGCATAGGGAAGGGATGCCCAACTTAGTCTAGGGGATTATGAAGTATTTTTTAAGTCCCCACTATGTGCCACACAGTATTATAGATGTTCACAGGGACATGCAGATAAATAAAACAGGATCTATCTGCCTTACATATTTCTTACAGCCTGAAATGGCCAATAAGATTCTTAAAGTGGTAACTGTAATGCCAGCCAGGCTGTGATGAGTGCTCTAATGTGGTATAACTAATAGCTTTTCAAAGCAAATGATAGTGTATGTTTCTTTTTATTTCCCAGGACCTATCACAATGCCTGGCACAGAGCAAATACTCAGGAAATCTATAATGAATAGCATTACCCAATCAGTAAATTGTCGATTAGTACCATAGGAATTCAGAGGAAGTAGTAGTCATATGCATTTGGGGCTTTAAGAGAAAGATTTAATAGAAAGATGGCAGTGGCATTTAAGATGCAGTGGCATTTAAGATGCACAGATTATTAAAATTTTAACTATTATAGTGCAGAAGTCTAGGTATAGGGAATGTACACTAAAATAGAAGTAGACAAAGTAATGCTTTTTGTTTTTGTCTGCCTGGACATTAGTTGGCAGTAACAAAGTTTGCGTCTGACTAGAAAGTACCTGTTGACTCAGATAGCCACAGTAAGAGACTAGAACATGATGAAATAATGGTGACAAAAATGAGTTCAAATCTGCAGTCCACCACTTCCTAGTTGGCTCACCACTTATTACCTACACTTAATTTTTGCTACCTAATCAGTAAAGTGGAAATAATAATATCTGTTTACTGAGAGATGAATAAAATATTTGGTTTATTCTAGTCTCTCAGTAAATGCTCTGTTCAGTTTTTATCCTTTATGTTGTAGGTATAATAACATGTAGTAATTGGTAAAGGATCATTAAATAATGTCTTCAAGTCATAGTTAATTAGAATTATACTTTGAAAAACTAATTTGGTAGAAGGGGTAAGTAAAAGAATGAGAAGTCTGACATGGAGAAACGAGTATAATATAATGAAAGTCTGAGGTGGTGTGGTGTCAATAGGAAAATAAAAGATTAGGATAAGAAATTGCTTAAAAAAATAAAATTAGTCTTCATAAGCAAAAAAAAAAAAAATAGATAAAAGGAGAAAATACTCTGAGTAGTACTCTTAATGAGTGTGTATTGAAGAGTTTATCACAGTGAATGGTAACTGCTGTCCATTTGTCTCTTGCCCCATCCTCTCTCTTCCTTTCCTAGATCTATTACTTTATCTAGTTCATCTTTGAGTACTAGAGATACTGTGGATATTCTGCAGTATATTACATTTTTAAAAATCCTAGTACAACAATATCAAATCTTTTTAAAATTTTAATTTAATTTTATTTTAAGTTCCACGATACATGTGCAGGACATGCAGGTTTGTTACATAGGTAAACGTGTCATGGTGGTTTGCTGTACCTGTCAACCCATCACCTAGGTATTAAGCCCTGTATTCATTAGCTGTTTATCCTGATGCTCTCCCTCTCACCGCCTCCCTGACAGTCCCCAATGTGTGGTGTTTGCCTCTCTGTGACCATGTGTTCTCATGGTACAGCTTCCAACAGTAAGTGTTTGGTTTTCTGTTCCTGTGTTAGTTTGCTGAGGATAATGGCTTCCAGCTCCATCTTTGTCCCTGCAAAGGACATGATCTTGTTCCTTTTTATGTCTGCATAGTTTTCTATGGAGTATATGTACCACATTTTCTTAACCCAGTCTATCATTGATGGGCATTTGGATTGATTCCATGTCTACTATTGTGAATAGTGCTGCAATGGACTTATGTGTGCATATACCTTTATAATACAATGATTTATATTCCTTTGGGTATATACCCAATAATGAAATTCCTGGGTCAAATGGTATTTCCGATTCTAGGTATTTGAGGAATTGCCACACTGTCTTCCACAACGGTTGAACTAATTTACATTTTCACCAGCACTATAAAAGTGTTCCTGTTTCTCCACAGCCTTGCATCTTAAAAATTCAAAATACAAAAATTCTTGAATTTTTATTAATTGCCACTCTGACTGGTGTGAGATGCCATCTCATTGTGATTTTGATTTGCATCTCTCTAGTGATAAGTGATGTTCAGCTTTTTTTCATGTTTTTTGGCTGCATAAGTGTCTGCTTTTGAGAAATGTCTGAAGAGTCATTTATGACAAACCCACACCCAGTATCATACTGAATGGACAAAAGCTGGAAGCATTCCCCTTGAAATCCAGCACAAGACAAGGATGCTGTCTCTCACCACTTCTATTCAACATAGTATTGCAAGTTCTGGCTGGGGCAATCAGGCAAGAAAAAGAAAGTGTATTCAAAATAGGAAGAGAAGAAGTCAAACTGTATCTATTTGCAAATGACATGATCCAATATCTAGAAAACTCCACCGTTTCAGCCCCAAAGCTTGTTAAGTGGATAAGCAACTTTAGCAAAGTCTCAGGATACAAAATGAATGTGCAAAAATCACAAGCATTCCTATACACTAACAACAGGCAAGCAGAGAGCTAAATCATGAATGAACTCTCATGCACAATTGCTACAAAGAGAATAAAATTAGGAATACAAAGGACCTCCACAAGGAGAACTACAAACCACTGCTCAAGGAAATAAGAGAGGACATAAACAAATGGGAAAAAACATTCTACGCTTCATGGATAGGAAGAATCAATATTGTGAAATGGCCATACAGCTCATAGTAATTTATAGATTCAATGCTGTGCCCATTAAACTACCATTGACATTCTTCACAGAATTAGAAAAAAACTGCTTTAAAATTGGAACCAAAAAAGAGCCCATATAGCCAAGATAGTCCTAAGCAAAAAGGACAAAGGTGGAGGCATCATGCTACCCAACTTCAAACTATACTACAAGGCCACAGTAACCAAATCAGCATGGTACTGGTACAAAAACAGACACATAGACCAATGGACCAGAATAGAGATCTCAGAAATAAGACTGCACATCTACAACCATCTGATCTTCAACAAACCTGACAAAAACAAGCAGTGGGGAAAGGATTCCCTGTTTAATAAATGGGGCTGGGTAAACTGGCTAGCCATATGCAGAAAATAGAAACTGGACCGCTTCCTTACACCTTATACAAAAACTAACTCAAGATGGAATAAAGATTGAAATCTAAAACCCAAAATTATGAAAATGCTAGAAGTAAATCTAGGCAGTACCATTCACAACATAGACAAGTGCAAAGATTTTATGACGAAACCGTCAAAAGGAATCACAACAAAAGCAGAAGTTGACAAATGGTGTCTGTCTAAACTAAAGAGCTTCTGCACAGCAAAAGAAACTATCATCAGAGTGAACAGACAACCTACAGAATGGGAGAAAATTTTTGTAATCTATCCATCTGACAAAGGTCTAATATCCAGAATCTACAAGGAACTTAAACAAATTTACAAGAAAAAAAAAAAAAAAACATTAAAAAGTGAGCAAAGTACATGAGCAGACACTTCTCAAAGCAGAAACAAATCTTAAATGAAGTTAAACACACACATAAAAACAGTAGTAGGAGAGGTTACCTGTTTGAGCACCTATATTTCCTTAGAGGGAATCATGTCTTAACAGCCAGATCGCTCATAAACCTCAAAAAAAGTCACCTGGGAGAAAAATATAACACAAACTTGATTTTGCAATGTCTGTAAGCCCCCTAAACCCCAAACTTGGAGCTCACTGAATGAAGAGAATTTGTTTTTCCATTGTTTTCTTCTTGAGAAAAAGATGTATTTTGAAAATCAGTGCCTTTGATATCTTTTCAAAGTCTGACAATGTGATTGATTAAATCAAGTCTCTTGTTGAATTTTTCTAATGCTCCAGGGTAGTTTTCTGATTGACAGTATATACAGAAATATTTCAAAGTTCATTGTAGAAAAGCCAGCAGAAATGACGAGTCAATAATAGGCACCAAAA